ATCGTTCTTTAGAAACAGCTGCTGTGAGAAAAATGCCAAAAAAATTGCAGAGTTTCTGAAATTTTTATTTTAAAAGATTCTTTGAGTGTTGAACTTTTTGCTGACATTGCCTTGTTCATAATGCAATGCTTATCATTAGAATTGCAAATGACAGTTACCTGGGTTTATAAGCCCCAGTATGATATAAGAGCTAGCCTGGGAAAACATTTTACCTAATTTCTAATCTATCATATAGGCTATGATGCTATCGGATCTGAATTCTAATTGAAAAGTGTTGCTTTTTGTTGGGATTGTCATCGAAGATAGTGAACTACAGAGGAATAAGGAAATGATAGAAAGGCTCTAAGGTCTCATGTTGGAGCTCAAAAGCAATATTACAAATATCATATCTGAATTTATGACAGCACGAAGTACACATGTGCCAGACTGATTAAAGAAGCTAGAGTTGGTTGTCACAGGCCACCTACGTCACCTAAAGTCAGTGATGAGGCAAATGGGAACAATCTGAAAGGAAAAAATATCCGTTTTAAAAGTTTATTTCAGGAATCTATAAATTTAAAAAGTCCCTCACCTCTTAGAAGAAATTAAGAGCTTATGTACTGTGAGCAAGAAGAAACCATCTGAGTCCAAAAAAGTGGGTAAGAAAGACGTCACTATCTCCTCTTAATTCATTTGTCTCTGGGATTTCAAAGTAGAGAGATGAGGAACAATATAGAAATATGGCGCGACCTAAAGGCCTGTTTCTGAAAGAACTATATTAAGACCCCGAGAGACCCAGAAGATACTTTAGAGATACCTAATCCTAAATTCCTGAATGACAAATGTCAGAGCACAGACTTGTGCCACGCTGAGCGTAAGAAATCTCAAGGTGATTTAAGGCTAAAGTCTCCTAGCCGCCCCCCAAAGATTCTAGTCTATCTAGTCTATCCTATCTGGGATGGTACCTGAAAAGTAATTTTTAAAAGAATTTAGATAATTCTGGTGTGGAGTCAGGCTTGACAAACACTGACTTAATATACTGGGGAAACTGAGATCCAGAAAGACTGGGTGCCCTCCAGAAGGCCAGCAGGCTTGTTGATGGGAAAGCCGGGCCTAGAGTCCAACTCTGTACACATCGTGTCCACCGCTCTTCAGAGACAACCGGCCGCCTGTTCAACACCGTGTCCTCGTCTGCTGTCCTAACCGGCCAGCACAAGGAAGGCCTCTCCAGAGACCACGGAACCACCAGCGGTCCACACAAGATGTAGGCAGAGGACCTGGCCTCAAACCCAGTTCATCACCTTCCCAGATGGGCAAATAATTTTTATAGCAAAACAACAAATGCTATCTGTCCTTGAAATTAGGCCTAGAAACATTTTAAGTTTATTAAGTATGATAAGGGCTACTTTTGTCTTACTGACTTCATGAAGCTTTTCAAATTTGTTGAGTAATTATACTGACAGTGTAACAAGTTATAAAAAATATATGAAAATAAACTTACCAACTTCAACACTGAAATCACTGAGGACATATTTTCCTTCACTTTAATGATGTCACAGACCTCTAACACGCCTCATACTAACAACGTCACTGAAGAAAGTTGTTGCATTTTAGGAAACATAAGATTTTAAAACCTGAAGAGATACTGATTTTAAATTTTTTCCTACAACTTTTCCTGCCTTCTGTTTCCAATTGGCTATTAGCCAGTGAGTGAGCTCCCAAAGCCATTTCCAGTGGCCCGAATACATTTTACAGCGATGGATACTTTATCATAAATCTGCCCCCGAGAGAGAGATTCCCAGTGCATATTAGCAAAAGATCCCAAGAAGCCCTTTCCCTGACATCTGACCATGAATCCTCAGGTTTGCTGAATGGTCCCTAACAGCCCTCCGGGGTCCTACCCTGCTGCCCTGCCCAACAGAGAAGGTTCTAGGTTCTCACAAATTCATGAACCTGGAAAATTCCCCTTCAATTCTGGTAATTAACAGGCTAGCCATTTTTTATCCTGTGAGAACATGTGAAAATCAGCTATACTTTTATGGGACAAACAAGAGACTACACAGAGTAAAAAATACGTATGTGAAACCTTTCCAGAAACTTAAGATGCTCTATAAATTATTTTTACAGTGATCTCTGACAGGTGGCCACAGAAAGAAAATAAATGGTCATTAATGTAACAGTAGCCTTTTCCATAGAAAAAACTTCTAAACTCTTTCTTCATCTATAAGAAGGCAGCGCCCCTGGAACTGTGAACCACTTGCCCGAGGTGAGCAGTTTGTCTCTGCACCCTCCAGCAAGCCCTCTGAACTGCACTGGAGACCACGAGGCCGTTCCCACAGGTTCTGCCGCCTTCCCCGTGGGTCCCTCCCCTCGACCTGGAAGCCACTCCCTGGTCCAGGTTTAAGAGAGCCCCTGGATGAGTAACCCCCAGCCTTCTCAACATGTCACCAATAGCACACTTCCGCATCTTAAGGGAAAGCTCTCAGTGCATTAAAAAATATAATGAAGGGGAAAAAAAAAAAACCCACTGATTTAGCAGCTGTTTTTGTGGATGATTTTTTATATGGAATACATTTTGCATCTAATAATTTATTTTTATTCCCAGTTGACTCAGAATATGCAAATTTATTCATAAAAAATGAATGAGCAGTGAGACCCAGTGGTGCACATGAGCTTGGTTCTCTGGATTAAGAGCCTAGTAAGAGGGATTTATTAGGTGTTTCTGTAGGCATTGCAGGGGCTGGAAAAAAGGAACATTTTCAACCCAGAGGCCAAGCTTAATGCACTACTAAGCGGGAGGACAAAGGAGTGGTCATTTGGTCACCTTCCCTGAGGTAGAGATGCTCAGAGACACCACACCTAAATGGACTTCTTGATACATCTGCATCTGCAGCTCCACATGGGTCCCGGCACACACGGAGGAAGGCAGAGCCAGTGACAGATCATCAAGCTCACTCGTTCCCAGGGCTTTAGGAGGTTGGACACTGAAGCCATTTTCCCCGAAGCCCAATTCCCACTTCGGAAATAGGGAAACATTCCTGCCTGGGCCACTCTGCGGCAGCCCTCGGGCACTGCGCAAATCTCCCAAAGCCCACCCCCGCCCCCCCCGCCCTCTGCTAGCTTCTTCACCCATTCCCCTCCTACCCTCTCCTCCCTGCCCTGCTCATTCTCCCTCCCAGCACCCCTTTCCCAGGGTTGTCTGCAGACCTCCCAATTCCTCTGTCAATAAATACCTGCATATTGTGAAGCTTTGTGCAGGACAGACTCTCTACCTCTGCTTTAACCAAACATCTCTTTCTCTCCCAGTACCCCGAATTCCAGTGAGCCCACCTGAGGAAGGCTCTTGTCCTCTTCCACCCCGCCCGCAGGAAAACCTCTTCTCCTTCAGGCTGTGCTGCCCAGTAATCCAGCCCCAGTGCGCGGGAGGGGAGCCTCCCAGTTCACGGAGGGTGCCAGAGCCCAGCTACGGCCCTCCTACCCCCATCCCTCAATGCCCACGGGGATGACGTGCTGCCCTCATAGTTTCTCAACCAGTTCCTCTCCAATGACCCTTACCTTCACCTGCTTCCTGAACAAGTTCACGAGGGCTCTGTCAGAAATGTTAATGTACCAACACCCCACTCCCAGACCCCGCATTCTCGTTCCTTCCAGCTCTATGGTTCCTTTACATCTCACTTCTCTTCTTGATGCTCTCAATCTTCCTCAACTTCTGCTCTTTTTACCTTGCACCCCGAGTGCAGCACCCTCCCCCCACACTGAACCCTCACAGTGGCCCAGGGGCCCCAATCCTCAACACGATGTTCCTCTCCTTTCTTAACCTGATAACCATGTCTCTCCCTACCACGTTATCTTCTGGCTCTGTCTGCAAAATCTTTACGTTTCCAGAACAGCAACTTCCTCTGTATTATAATAAAAACTCATTTTCAAATGAAGTTGAGAAAGAACAGTCCAAATAGTTAAATGTGATTTAAACAATTTCAAGTTCTATGGCAGCTACCATCTACCAGGAAAAGATCGGATGCTTTGTAATTAGCACATTAATGATATATATGAAAACAACGGGTTCCGTTGCTTTTATCACAAATTCTGAATTATTACAGAAAACAAAGTTGTACTAGTCTAGAAAACAGATAAAAGTTAAATAAAATCATGTATTTCAACATGTTTCAGGCAACGAATTACCGAGTAGCTTCAAGGAAATAACTGAATTATTTGAAAACCTTTTTTTTTTTTAGATTTTATTTATTTATTTGACAGAGAGAGAGGGAAAGAGAGCAGAAGTAGGGGTAAGAGCAGAAGGAGGGGGAGAAGCAGGCTCTCTGCTGAGCAGGGAGCCTGACGCTGGGCTCAATTCCAGGTCCCTGGGATTATGACCTGAGCCAAAGGCAGATGCTTAAACCAACTGAGCCTCCTAGGCGCCCCTTGAAAAACTTTCTTTTAATTCCCTCCAATGGACACAATACTCATGTTACTTAAAACTGGCTTGAGGGGTCTGGCAGCCACGGTAAATACCCCTCACCCTTCCCAATGCCATGCTGTATCTATCACATAAACGTAGCCTGGGTGGCTCAGTGGGTCGGGTGTCTGCCTTTCGCTCAGGTCATGATCTCAAGGTTCTGGGATCGAGCCCCGTACCAGACTCCCTGCTTAGCAGAGAGCCTGCTTCTCTCTTTTCTTCTGCTGCTTTCTCTGCCCTGCTCCGGCAGGGCATCTGCTTCTGCCCCTCCTTCTTGCTCGTGTTATCTTTTGCATTCTGTCTCTCTCGAATAAATAAATATTAAAAAAAAGAAGTGCCTGCTCATCAAGGAGAGAAAATTTGGGGATGGTTAAAAAACTGGATGGCTTCCTTAAAGGAAGAGATTTCTAGTTTCTCTACTTGATGAGCTTCCCATCTATCTGGGGCCTAAATAAAATGTAACAATGCAACCGAATTCTGTTACCTAAAATAACCCTAGAAATGTTTATCCGGAAAGCAAATCAACTCCCTCCCCATGCTGATTTGTCTAAGAAAGAATACTTACTTGCAAATTGTAGTCTTGCAGAATTTTAACCAAGGAATCTCTCAAATTGGGGATCTCCATCCCTTCCTTAATACGGTGAATCAACAGAATTGGGTCCACATGCGTGCCGATGTTGTTCAACAAGCCAGTAATAAATGCTGCAAGATACCACATGCAACGATCAGCACATCAGCAACGTACATAAGGCAGTCAAAAGGAACTCAGGTAAAAAATTATTTCCTTTAAGGTAAGCGTTAAAACCACCTGCATTTCCAAATTCTCAAAAACTTTCCTTTTATCTCATGACATAAAGGGGAAGCTCTGTCAGTGAAAAAGAGCCAGAGAGTACAATGATGACTCAGAACACAGCCTTCGATGGCAAGGGGGTACAACTGATATTTATGGAGAACTTACACTACAGCTCAGCTGTCACACACTTTTCTCCAATTTTCTGCAAGGTATGAAGGTATTTGTCCCCATTTTACAGGCAAGGGAAACAAGCTGGTTAAGTAATTCATTCCGGGCCATAGAGCTAGCAAGTTAAATGCCCCAGTTCACTGGCAGGGCAGTCCGAGGGTCCCAGTCATGACGTGTTCCATCTCACCCACCCTGCGTCCTTGGCAGTGCGTAAATTACAACTTCATCATGCTAAGCTTGATTCTCAAAGATGCATGTGCACATGACGGTCCTCATCTGAATTTGACTTGAATAACATTATCCTCTTGTAGCTCTTATAAAAAGACAATCACAAGAGTCGTTTCTAAAACTTGAAACAGATAAATATTCTTCTTAAAAAATGAAGGGGGTGGGTGCAGACTTTTAAACCATAACTGTCGGTTTTGGAATCATTTCTAGATCTTCAAAAGAGGGCTTGGGTTACTGTCAGGTGACTGTGTATCTCCTTCTAAAATGCGGAGGCAGCCACGGGGAGGCAGCACACACACAGTCCTGGTGCCACACGAGGAAGAGAGGTGGGACAGAGATTAGGTACGGTCACAGCAAACATCTGAATATGGCCAATGTCCAGTGACAGGCCTAGGTTTCCATGAAAAGAAACTGGTGAGAGCTTTACATTTTCAAAATTAATACCCCTATATCCAAACTGAAGAAAAAGAAACAAAACAAAACAAAACTAAACTAAGTCAGGTGACATTTATTATTCAGTAGGGGTACAGTGCGTCGGAAGGAGCTTCATGGGGACTCGGAGAATGAGTTTCAAGAACTTAACCACCTGCTCGTTTGCACATTCAGGTACCGCTTCTCTGCACAGGAGGAGGACTGGAAATCGTTACAATGTACATAGCCTGTTTTTGTTATAGAGACTTCACCGTATTTTTCACCCAATATGTCTTGAGATAATTCCTGCTGTAGATGTAACTGGACGTATTGAAAGAAACAGGTCTGATTGCAGGTGGCTTTTCTGCTTACGCGGTTTGTCGATGGAATATAAAATCAGATCTTCCCAGAGTTCTCCGTCGTCTTGCTCCTTGGCAAATTCAATGGCTTTATCAACATCATGTAATTCCTCCATGATCATCTTCAGGGCACTGCGGCTGTTACCCATTCGGCCTAGCAAAGATGTGAGAAATACTTTCAGGATGCTTTAATAAAACATTTTTGAAGAACCAGCATATCTCTTATTTACATATCTCTTGAAAGACAAAAACACATTTTCTTATGGGACATTAGCATTTGCCATTTATAACATAATGAAATAATGATTTCCTGGGTGTTTTCTTTGTGCTGTATGCTCATTTAAGTGCTTCATATAAATTACATCATTTAGTCATCACTATAATCCTATGAGGTATGTTCTACTATTATTTCTTCTTTACGGAAGCAACATTAGTAACTTGCCAAGATCATACAGCTGGAATCTGAACCCAAGTCCATCAGATCCCTACTTCCCTCCTACTTCCCTCTGACAGACCTGTATTTCTTTTGGACATCTTGATACCCAGATACAGTTAAGACTTTTAAAGGCCTTGGAGCCATTCTGCCTCTTTAAGTAGTTTTGGATTTGCTCTTTTGACACACTCTGTGCCAAACACAAACTCAACTATCAGAGGGGTACCTCATTTCCTACTCTTCCAAGTTTGGGGGAAAGCCTTCCGATAACTCTCATTAAATGAGAGTATTTATCAACTATGCTTCTATCTGGCCAATTATCTTTACACACTTTGCTCATTGATCTACTGGCATTTTAATGGCTTTAACAGTTTCTCTGAGGTTTTAATACAGTACATGTAGGAAAGCTTTACTCAGAGGAGGGACGGCAACTCAATCCTTCTCATTCTGAGCAGCCCTTATCAAGTGAGAATAGTGGGCCTGTGAATAAAATGATGTCTGATTTGTTCTACCTTCTGTAGCATTTCATTCTTCCAACAAGTATTATTCCCATGGTTTAGGTCCTAAAAATGGTTAATTTTTAAAATGTGTATAGGATTTTTAAATTTTCATAACTTCAGAAAAGGACATTATGGCTCCCTTTGTTAAGTTCTCCGCTTACTTGTCTACTGGGACAATACAACATGATGATGAAAATGGACTCTTCTGGAGTATTTTCTGGGCAGAGACACTGGAGAAACACCTCATGCTTGAACTCCATGTTTCTGCTATGAATACCTGCATAGAGCTTCCTTGGGAAACCTTCAGGCCATCTACCCTGCTTTCACGTAAATGGTTCATTCTGGAGGAAGGTGAAAGATAGTAGTACGACATAAACAGAGGCGGTGCCAGAGGTCCAGGGACAATGGAGAGCTAGATGATACCAAAGTTCTCCCCTCTCCAAAATGTCCATATTCAAGTGCATTTTCTCCAGTTATTTAAGGTGTGATGAGGGACAATGAACATTATTTTCTACCGGGATGATAGTAAAATAAGCTTGTTTTTGTTTTTGTTTTTTTTTTTTTTGCAAATGAACCAACTTGTCATCTCCTCTACAATTCATTTGTGAGGTGTGAGCTAATAGACTTACTATGCAATATTCAGATGTTACTTCAACAGCATTTATTGAATAACGCTTCTTTCTACTGAGCTGCAAAGTCCCCTTTTCTATGCATTCCATTCTTAAAGAGAATAGGCTCTACACTTTGTGTGCCTTTGGTCTAAAACCTACGTCCATTCTTAGACTATGTATACCACTTTACCACAGTGTTTCCCAGCTCATGGGGACCAAAAGCTACTTACTCAGAAGATACACTGTCTCTTCTACAAAGTTTCTCTGTTGACAGATCTCAAGAGCCTTTAAGTAAAGCAGGGTAAAAATGTTACTGTGGATTAGCAGCCATGAATAAATATGACCAGATTCACTTAAACATACAAGTTAGAAAAAAGTTCCCATTGCCCTCCTTTAAAAACAAAAGGAAGTAAACAAACAAAACGCAAATCTTGGGTTTTGCTGGTGGCTGTCCTCATTCACCTCTCAGACAGGTGCTGGACTGAACACAGTTTAACCAATACTGTATTTGAGGCAACTCGGAACACTCTGTGAGCAAAGGCAGAAAGCCAGTGCTGAAGAGAAGGACTTTCCCGCCAAGCTTTCTCTTGATGCTACTTTAGGTTTCCTCACAGCTATGCGCCCCACCTAATGCCCCATGACAGCATTAAGCTCCCCGTCCCTCCACCGGAATGTAAGCTGCTCTCTGCTGTGTGTTCCCAGTACTGGGCAGACCACGGCCCGGGAAACATCTGATGCTTAAATAAACACATGGGTCCACAGAATATTTCTGTTCCCAGATCACAGGGTTTAAGAGAAAACTCTGTTCCAGCATCTGTCAGAAGATGAGAGGGGGGAAATCGTATGTGACCACCAAGAAGGATCAAAAGGGAAGAGATCAAGTGAAGAAACGAGGAACCTCACAGGGGACTGCATTTCCTCGGGCGTAAGAAACAAGACATGTTGTGTTTATATATAACTGAGTAACTCGAAGCGAACTGGCACACATTCACTGCACACTCTGCTGGGCGCTGGAGGGCCAGGCTGGATAGAGACGCAAAGAAGAGTCACAAAGATGCCGCTGCTGACGACAGACGAGAGGGGTGGAGGGAAGGTGTGGAAGCAGAACGCAGCTCCCAAGGGAGCACAGGCACCGGGGAAGCTCACAGAACTGCACTAACGCCCTATCCCATGACGGGGGTAAGTGTGAATAGAGGGCCGCGTGCACAGACACGGGACATGGGCTCAGGTGTGGCCCTCCTGTAAAAGGCTTCACAGCACAGGTGGCATCCGAACTGGGTGCAGCAGGACGAGTATGAGATCCCCAGGAAACCGCATCTCCCACCCCAACTACGTGACCTCCCTGATGCGGGGCTCTGCTCTGACTCACAGCCCAGAATCTTCCCTGTGACATCTGTGACCTGCCCTGCCTTTCTGGGCAGCCACACCTCCCTCAAGGCCTGCTCACCCCTCCACTGTGGTCCTTCCACCTGGACTATGGCCCTCACTCCCTACCTCACTCTTGTTTTAAAAACAAGAACCAAAGAGATAAAAAGAAGAGTATAAACTCAGCTGCTGGCTCAGTGATCTATCCTGGGAAATAACAGCAGGAGCTGGTTTGAACATTTTGATTTTTGACTTAAAATTTTTATGTTA